ACTACATCACTGCGTATATTGTAAGGACGCGGTTCTCGACACTTGTAGCGACTACTGACCGCTACTTTGGTAATGGTCCTGGTTCGCTCCGCGACGATGGTATTATTTATTCTTTTATCTATGCTGGTGCTTTCGCGAACCGTTGTGAAAAGCGATACCGGTTACTATTTTTTAACGTCATTACTATCCACAACCGTGATCACTACTAACTGATACTTTGAAATCAGTTCTATCAAATAATTTTGGTAAATGGATTTGAAAAATATTTGCCATAGTTTGAAAATGTTCCCGAAAATCGCGAACGGTCAGTTTTTTGAAAAACGTCACACTCACGTTTGAGCTTAATTTGTATAATTAATTCATAATAATAATGTTGATTTATTTATAATAGTGTAATTTCGCATAAAACGTGTTCCTCACGAGTTGCGAGTAAATAAACAGCTGGTTTAATAAACAATTACCATACTACGTATTATTATGATATAAAACTTACATAAGGTCTAATGCGCGATCCTATATAAAAGGATATATTTTACGTAACAATAAACCAAGTTTTCGAGTTTGACTTCATGTACTAGAGAGTAACATGGATTTTATAAGCTTGTTGAAATTTATAATAATCTACATAAAATATTGTTGATAATAAAAATAAACTAAAAAAGTAGAAATACATGAGTATTTTTTATGTGTGTCGTAGAAAAGATTTAAACTTATAGTGTACTAGGTACTTTAAATGTTCTTAGAATACTAGGTAATTAGAATTACCTGAACGATGAAAGTTTGAGATTTTCGAAACAAATTAAAATTGTTAATAATTATTCGTTTAAATTTGTAATATAATTTAATTTACTCAACAAAGATCAATGCATCATAGCATAGAAGTAATTGCATTACTCTTTCTTGTAAAAAAAAAAAGTGAAATGACTATAATACAATAATGCTCATAGACGTATTTTAATTACTATATTTTTAATTTTTATTTTTTCTGATGTATCTCTAATGTAATGTTTCAATAGTATAACTAGTTTAAGACTAATTTAGAGAAAAATCCAAAATTTAAACGCTGATCAAATTTTAATATATATTTGTTTATTTTGAACACTGAAATTGAACCCTTTGGTGCAATTTAATATTAGGTGCGTGTACATTACATTTAGTAGAAATCAATAAAAGAACTAATGGGCTGAAAACTGAAATATGAAACAATAAAATATTAATAATGGGATCTTTATTGGCATTGGACATCAAACGTCATATAGGCTCATTTGACGTGTAATATGTGAAAACATGTGTATATACAGTCATGGAAACATGTATTAATATGATAGCAAATATTATTGTACATTAAATTAATAAAGAGTAACGTGTAATTTGGATATGTCACCTGTGTTCGATTAACAGAAAATAACATGCAAAAGACAGAAACGCCCCGAGCATGGCAGACAATTGATATAAATAGATAAAATACAACGTGAATTATGCATATTTCCTGGAAAATTAACGACATAGTGTATCGGTGTGAGCAAAAACTGTTATTTTCAAGTCACAAAATTATAAAAATTAAATGCGCACGTGAACTATGAATATTAGAAACATATCAAATGCACTCGATAAACTTTATCGACAAATAAATAAAAAATAGACTAATTTTTACAAAAGAAAAAAAATCGATATGCCCGTTCAAGGCGAAGTATGCTTTTGATAGCCATGAGGTCAACAGTGTTTTTGATTTGACAAGATATTAGCGGCACACAGTTCCGTTGAAAAACACCCGTTTCGCGGTTTTCTAACCTAACTTATGTGTTCGTATTCACAGCTAAGTACGAGTGTTTCGTGTAATAATTTTACATTTCGTTTTTTTCACAAGAGTCTTATACCGGTACACTTGTGTCTCGACTTTTTGGAACTGATTGCATTATTATTGAAAAACATTCGTCACCAGCACGAAACATGTGAGGTTTCTTAAGTCTGTTGTCAATAGACCAAGAAAGATTTCCATTTTTTAGGGATAGACAATTAGTATTTTTTTTCAATCCTGTTATTATTATTGAACGGACGAGCACGTTGCCGCGGTGGAATTAAACATATTTGCATTCTACTTAAGAAAAATTCCGAAGTCCCATCACTGCAACGCATATTTACGCAGTGTTGTTACCTTCAAGCCAAATGACGTATTATTTTATCGTTTTACCGACGTGCTTCGATCCCGTTCGATAGATATCAGGTCTTGATTCGATTAAAAATCTTTTGTACAGCAGTTCTCAGTAGCGGTGTAGATTGCAGCACGTGTTAATTCTCGCACGTCTGACAACGACACATTTTATTACAGATGTATCATTTTTTGATTAAAACGAAAGTTCACCATCTCCTTTTGACGTTGAATGCGTGCGAAAAGAGTTCGTCGCACCAACGCACGTGGAGATTTCGAGTTCGTACGTTTGGACGCCGAGCTTTCGAAATTCGCCATCGCTGCGTTTCCGATGTGTGTGCAAATCGACGTGTTCAATAAGAATAATTTAACAATGCGAGTAAGCTGCGCGCAGACGTCTAATGTCAATTACAGGTGAAATGAAAAAAGGTTATTACATTTCTCGTTAAGCAATACGCTTTCGTCAGGTGGCTGTCGCCGTTCGAATCGCGTTTATAAACGCATTTAACTCTCGTTAATCGTCTTACTGGGTTACTAAACGTACCTGTACCTATAGGAGTAAATTTGGGGTGGAGCATTGACTCTTCCATAATAAATTAGGAGGGGAAGTACCCTCCCTCTGATATTAAACATACCTTGTTTTAAAATAAGTACAAAATAGCTGGTTATAGAGTTAAACTCTATAACTACACGGTTTTTTTTTTTTTACTTAGTTATATTGATCACCTTATACTAATATGCATACAACAAAAGGTAATGTTAACGTATATTTACGAGTAAATAATGTAAGGTTAACTATATAGACAAGTTGATATGTAACTGTATATTTGTCCTCCCTCTAATAATACATTTTCAAGTTACGCCCATGTCTGTGCCGTAGCACGATAAGCGATGAGGTGATATGATGACGATTATATTCGTGCTACGCTTTACAGTTAGATTATAGCTAATTGTCTTTTATATTAACATGTTGTGCTTGTCGATGTTATACTCTCAAAAATCAATCACTATTCGCAATGCTCTGAACAACGAAGTTTCTCCGGAACGTTACCCTTTTGTTTCGTTTTAATTGTTTTCAAAGGGTTTTAAATCAAAACTTATTCACGTTCACGTTGCGTGCCAGATGTGTTTCTAGTTTTACTTGTTAATAAAACTATTCACTGCACAGAGGATTAGTTGGCTATGTTTGTTCGCTTCAATATTAACGAAAATGTCAAATTACGTACCTTAAGAATAAAATAAAACAAAAGAGACATTTAAGAAATGTAGATTGTGTTAAGATAATGCGAGCGTAAAAAAAATACCAAAACGACATGCAATTGTCAGTTTAAAATGATAGTATATTTATATGCTATATAATGTATAATATGAAATTATTGTTATGTATCAAAAACAAATGTTTTTTTTTTTTAAATTTTAGTACGAATAAATGTCAGACGTTTATTTTTTCGGTATTACATTTTTTTTAGAGTTTGTAATTAGTATTTCATAGAGCTGACTGTATAACGGCAAAATATTAATATTTCAATTTTCAATGAATAATCAATAGTGGGACCAGTTAGGGCCATTGAGCACCAAAGTTAAAGTATACAGACTAGGATTTCATTAATTAAATTTGCTACTGAATGGAAAAATTCACCTATAGACTCCTCGCCGAGCTCGTTCTATCAGTAATCGCATATAATTATTATTCATAGTTAAGACCATCGAATTTAGTTTCTGAAAATAAAAAAATATTAACAAAATAAATCGTTTATAATTAAATCGTTAATGCCGATTCTATATCTGTAAAATGTTTTAACATATTCGGATAAAAATCTTGTTCATTGTACGTATTGCACTTGTATATAGTGTTATGTTGGTTTTACAATATAGGTACATAATAGCAAAATACCAATGTCATGCGAGATACGTCCGGCGTGGACATACAATATGTAAAATATGTGTATTATTTAATATATTTACAATACATCTCTATGAATAAAATTTGATTTTTTATCGGGTTTACACATGCGAATACCTCTAAATCACTGCATCCGGTTCACGCTTTGTAACACCAAAGCAGTATTGTAGGAAATTTTCAGGAAACCGTGATGCGATGGTGTGATACAACCAAGTGACGGGCTCATGATAGACATTCGGGCAACACAAAGTGTAATCTGAGAATGTTTATAATAATTCCATTCCGACGACGAGAACAGAGTTGAGTATAAAAAAAAAAAAAAAATAAATAAAAAAATCGATGTAAACGATAGAAATGCAGTTATGGTCATATCGCAGGGTGATAATTATAGATTTATTGTGTTCAGACGTCAACAGTATGATGGCGGATAAAAGTGATGCGTTTCGACGACAAAGTGACATGTGGAAACAAAATGCGAGTGAAATTTTACGAGGATCCTTAAGTACAGAATTTGAGGGTAGCAGTTTAAGACCTAACGGCACTAAACACTTTTGACCATCTCTGAATTTCGCGGGCGAACACAACGCTGTTGTGCTAACAATTCGAAACCGTGTACAATCATTGTAAATTAATGCACGAACGTAGTCTTCGACTGTTAATCGTTAATTATTACCGTGTTGAGTACCGTACAGTTCAATGAATACGCACATTTGAGGTTTTTCGTCGTCCACAGTTATCATATTTGTCATGTGTCATCGCCATTCTCATGTTTTTAATCGCAACGCGCGCGCTCGCGTTATCGTTTCAGCTACTGTAACATATAACTTTTTTTTATTTATATCTTAGTTTACTGTTAATTATCATGTTTATTTATTCGTTTAATTTTACTAATTTTATCTATACTTTTCTCATGTCGAATATGTCATGTGCATATAATAATTGTTTCAGCACGGTGTCGGAGTAGAGTTCGTCCGATTCCTGCCGGAAACGCATCCGCCGACCATGGCCAACGTGTTCTGCGAGCTGGGCGTCTGCGAGAGCGTCGTGAGTACAAGGTGTTCCGATTACGTTAGACCATCATTATGATAATTGTATGCAAATCGTTCGGTTAGACGATCACGTGCGACTGCGACGCTACACCGGCGATGCAGCTGAAAGCGATGCGACAGAAAGGCGACAAAGTGGACGTCTCTCACTACCGCGTGAACGTCAACAAACTGCAGGCCCGACTGAACATTGTGTTCGACACGAGCAAGAAGAGAGGACAAATCAAATTCGACGGGTGGCCGAAGGTATTTTCCCATTTTTTTTTACGGTATATTTATCTCTTGCGTTTTGTTCCCGTGCGCAAGAGATTATACAAGCAGTGCGTTTCGGTGAATCCTTACACTTTGACAGGAGAAAAGTATACTTATATTAATAACGTAAAAAACAAAAGAACATCTCCATTTAAATTAGTTTCAAAGACTACCACTGATATATAATGCTTAAAAAAAAAAAAAATCACTCGAAGCTATTTAAAAATCTATATAAAGTTTATGCAGACATAAGTATAATATTATGTGTCACGATTTCAAAAAAATTTCGAATTAAAACATTGTTGTAACTAGTGGACTAGTTACTAATGTAACTAGACATTGTTTTTATATGAATTTTTTATTTCGAAAAATAAAATTGTCATAAATGTATTTGGAAATAAATAATACAATCATTATAAGAATAACAACATATTTCTAGAAGCTCGCATAGTTCCACATTTAAATATTGTGTAATGAAAGTTTCACAAAAACCGAAGCTCTTATATGGTGGTTCATTTTTTTTTTTTCATAACAATATTACCATATGTCATGCTATCATGATTTATTTTATTTACAATACCGTTAATGACAACCGTCAATTTACAAACAAATATTTTTTCGGAGTACTTTTTTCCCAATCAAAAGATTCGTGACTGTGTCCTCTCCGGTTCAAAGACAGTTGATGTGAAATTTACGATAAAAGATTCTGTTATTGTTTAATTATGATGAGCCTCTTCTAATGGATATAATAATTAAATTCGATTCAGAGTATAATTAGCTTAACGGGTGATATTTTAAGTCAATTATACAATCCCGGAACCATATAATACAGTTCATTTTACACAATAATTCTTGACGAAAATCAGCACCATCGTTTAAATGAAATATCAAATATTCTTTAATATATTATCGTATTTTCAGGTTATAACTGTAAACACTTACGATGTCGTTTGCAAACGAGATCTGTAAAGAACGACTGTACTATTACAGTTAATATCACTGAAATATATTTACATTTCGGATGTTCGCGCTAACTGCGTAATCATATAATTACCGTAAAGTTTATAAATTTATTTTATTTTCGTATAACTGTAACATTGCGAAGTTCTAAATTATTTTATAATACTCGTCTAACTCTCATTTTCCCTAAAATCTATAAATATCGCAGGTTATTTCCTGTGTACTATAGCACAAGAACTACAATTATTGATCTGAATAAATAATTATTAGATCTTAACCGCGTACAATCATCATTCAAACGTATTAAAGTACTCAGTATAACTGAAACGAAAAGCTCTAAAAATCAACGCAATGTAGGTATTTCACTATGGATCTAAATTATATTTACTTTTTTCTTTATTATCTTCTACTTGTGCATTTACCAGAACAATCGACGCAAAGAAAACGTTATGCGTTGAAACATGAAAAAAAAAAAATTGCAATGAAATCTATTGTCACGTTTGGTTCGTTGTGAATCAATCATAGCAAAACATAAAAGTTTTCAACTATATTATAAAAAATACAATGATTAATCGATTATTTTTCAAACATAAAACTGCTAAGGTTCCCCAACCGCTTGAATCAATTACAATATTGTTGGATATTATTCAGATAAAACGTTCAGAAATAAAATGTCTGTGATATTTAAAATTAACCTACTCAGTTAATCGTATTCGTTACTCATTAGAAGCGATGACGATCTCATGAAACATGTGATACATGCACATCATTTTAGCCGATGATTAATAACTGTTGTTTGATTTTCAAATAGTTACACTAAAAAAAGAAAAGAAGAAAATTATAAATGAAAATAGTTTGTTATCGTATAATATTTTTAAAATTACATCATCACACAATCATGTGACGGTAAATATTAAAATGTTTAAGACACGTGACATTAAATAGATGATTTCGATTAAAATACCAACACACGAGTAAGTCTGCTTGGATACAAAATTAAATTTATTTTTTCGCCACGCATGTACTATAACGTTCGCCATAACCTGGTATGTAGGCCCGCGTTCTGGGTACGCATTGCATTGCACGGTGTAACTCGATGTATATTGACAGCAGTAATGTTTTGAAATTCCAGATAAAAGTAATGCTTGCCCAAGTCGGGAACATAAAGAGCAACACGCTTGACGAGGTGCAACTGCAAGACGTTATCATGGACATCGTCACCGGTGCCATAAGATCGACCGACATCGCCGTGGACTTGTACCGCTGGTCAGAGTTTCCGAATTTCACGAAAAGCCAACAGACGACGATCACCTCACCTTTGGACTCGTACACCGAACGTTTGGTATGCATGTAGTCTCGACCTGCTCCAATCCCTACTGTTTACCGTTGTGGAACACGGGGCATCGGTATACGTGTCCACACGAAGCACTCGTATATCATCGATCGGTTGACCTGGAAACATCGCTTTGGAAATTCTATGCTTATTTTTTTACCACCGCACGTCGAGAAGTAACTTTGGTTTACTGATTCGTGTTGCTCAAAGAGATATTCTCTGCGGTACTGACATACATTAAAAAAAAAAAAAAAAATGCAAAGCGTATGGGTCTAATTATGTTTACGCTAGTCGCTTTGATATTAAGCATATTCTTTTTTTTTTTTTTTAAAAAAAAGGACCGCAAATAAAATCTAAATATAAATATATAAATATAAAACGTACGTTATAAATTATAAAATTTATAAGTAATACCAAAGTATACATAAGTAATTAGAAATATGAATCCGTATGTGCGCGCGCGTGTGTGCATCTATAGTTCGTAGGTAGGTATGTATATATGTTTTATTATGTTTTTTTTTTAGATTTCTATCACTTATATATAGGTTATGTATAGGATAATTTTGAGAAAAATAATATTCAACTGTGATATTTAAATGTTGTACTGTTAAGTTATGACAGAAAAACATAATAAATATTACTGCCGTTATTGTCTTTTACTTTCAAAAACAATTGTGTTTAAAAACTACTGCTGCTGTGTGGAATTCTTGTTGTACGTCAGTTAATTAAGTTTTTTTTTATATTTTGTAACTGAACCGACGAGTAAAATTACTTTAAAATAATACAATATTTTAATGATAAAAATCTTAATAATAATAATACATAATAACGTAAAATTTGATGTTTCCAGTGTTATCTAATATATGTATATAATATATAAAGTATATATGTATATAATGTATTTTACATTATTTAAATTTGATTTAACTGATTGGGATGGTAATTTTAAAATACAGATAAACCCCAGAACGGAACCAGCAGTCAAGCAAGGCGAGAAAAGGTTGATGGTCAAAGTAATAAAAGCGATTGGACTGGGACTCAAACAAGGTAAAGTCGTATTGTGCACTATAGTTTACTTATTGATTTTTGATGGAAAAAATTGTTTTTCGGACTGTTTGCGGCATACAGGTTGTTCCGAGCCGTACTGTGTGATTGAAGTCGATGACCCATTTCAAAAGAAACAAACGTCGACCAAGAAGAATACGTCGTCGCCGCAATGGAACGAGAACTTTATATTGTGAATAATTTAATTTACCTACGTATGATTGCATACAGTGCTCAGGAAGAACTTTGATCTCGCGTTCACGTTCCGTCTAGTAAAAATTAAATTATATGATTTAAGACCAGATAATGATCATTCGGTCGAAAGATTTTTTCCATTATTTCAGTTATCGATTTTATTATTTTATGGAACAGAGTTCTGTTTAGATATCCAGGTAGAGCCAAATATACGATATGGAATGTTCAGTGTAAATATATTACGTAAGAAAACTGGTGATCATTATTAGGGTCAGCCTACTTTTAAAAAAAAAAACTCACGTGATCAACGTTCCCTCGTTATCGTCCGTAAAAATTCGCAGACTTTGCTTTTTTCAACTTAGTTCATGACCATAAAAAAATGTTGCTCGTCCGAGGTTCAAAACGCGTCTGATTTTTCGTTCAAATCGTTCCTTACGGTCGAGAATTTATCGTGAGCCTTTTTTTTCGCACAGTCGAAACCGAAACTTGACTTTTTTCCGGTCACACAAAACGCTCCTGGGCACTGGTCGCGCGTACACGTACTGTTACCAGGGCCGTTCAGAGGGAGGAGGACAACGGGACCATTTTGCCTCTGGCCCCATTGTTGCAATATTTTTTAGGAGGCCCTCATAAAGTCTTGATGTATAATAATTAGTAGAAAAGCCTCGATTACACTGAGTAGTTGTACACGCTGCGTATCGGCGATTTAAGTCGCGCGCATGTGAGCGTGTAGCGACTTGTCCAGTTACATTGAGTGATTAAATTATAAATAATACGAATAATATTCAATTTTATTATGTATGTATGTAGTACAGTACATAAATTTAAATGAGCTTGATTGGTCGAGGTCTGAAAAAATCATTTGCAAGTATTTTGTTATTCTCAGTGAGTATTTTGTTTATCATATCTTATTAGTATGGTCGAAGGGCCCCTAAATTGATTTGTCCCTGGCCCCGAATAACCTTGGAACAGCCCTGACTGTTACGATTTTTGCCTTTTGCCGTCCGACCGGGTACGCGTGCCTTGTGGGGTGCCATGCATTCTGCCGAACCTAACCTCACCGTGATATTGTTTCCAGCGCATTGAACCCGATGACTGAGGAGATACTGTTCGAAGTGTACGACAGCAACCCGAACGGCAGCAATCGGTTCATGGGCCTGGCCATCGTCAGCGTCGAAGAACTGCTCGTGAACCCTTACCAAAGACAAGTGCTGTCCCTGCAGGCGCGGCCGTACCAAGACGATCCGGTGTCCGGTACGCTCACGTTGGAAGTGAGTGTGCGAAATGTTGAGTTGTTTTGATCACCCTATAGTATTACGCTCGCGCTCGCCAGAGCCGGTTGAAGGGCCAGCTACCAAGGGTCCCGCGCCCATAACGGGATTTTATAATTTTTAAGTCTACGGTTTTGCTTTTAATAACGATTTCCTATCGTAATGTAAAATGTGGGTGATGGCATTTTCCTTTCTTCCCCCTCCCATTTTTGAATCGACGACCCTGAAATCGTGCACCACAACACTTTAGGGTCCGCCGTTAATGTGTGTTCCGATATCGGGAATTCGAGCTTCCTGAGTGATAGCCAAGTATCCGTGCCATTATAGACCGTACCGGAGAGATAAATTAAATTCAGCAGCCTTAGACTAAGCTAACAAGGGAGTTTCAGTACTCACGCTTACCGCGTCACTGTCCCGCTAGGCTTTTTTGCAATTTATTATTCGATTTGAACCGTTTTAATCTTTAACTTCAATACGATGTCAAACAGACACTTGTACAGTATAATAATAATAATAAATTAATAAACTAAATAAAAACAAATATATTGTTGACGCTTTGACGATAAACTGAAAATCATGTCGTACTTATACTAGGGTGTTCACGGACAATTTTTTTAGATACAATCAAACAATTCTTGGTCCCCGTGAAAAATTAGCCCCGGGTTCAGCAAAACCTCTCTTCGGTGCTGGTGGCCGCGAGACCAAGATTACATTTCCGCGCGTCGTCCGTGTGTAACAGATATGACTTGGTAGTACACACGCGACGGTAAACGCACACCCAGCACACACATATTAGTTTCGTTATCAACAGCGTACGTGGGGATTTATTTATTCATTTACTTTTTTTCCTGTCGCTAACCAAGTCAAACCTGCAACGACGTTACGCATGGCTTAAAAATATTATAATTGGTTTACGGTAATTAGAAAACGATTTTGATTTGTACACACTGTTTATTCGTGCGTGACGGTTCGACTCGAATACACGTTTCAAAATATTGATGATACATTTTTTACTCGTAGGTTTTTTAAAAACATTAAATAATATCTACGACCGCACCAAATGAAAAAAAAAAACTATTTGGACTACTACGTAAGGACTTTGAAACTTTTTTCTCCAGGTTGAAACAGGCCGGCCGAAGCAATTTAAGTTATGCAATTAGCTTCATCCGAACATAAAACATAGTATTAACAACAACAACAATAATAATAAATAGTTTTAGATGAAATCTCGTATAAAGCATTTACTGTTGCAACCGTTTACAGAGTTCCGTTTTCTAAAAAATAATTACAATGTGTTCTATAAAGTATCCGTCTGTTCTTTGTATAAAAAAAAAAAAAATAAGAAAAAATAAAAAAAACATAATCCGAGTATTGTGATTGTAACACGCGAATGATGGCTAATTTCGAAAAAAAAAAATAAAAATTGTATAAAACAAAATTGTGCTATATTGTGATATAAACCCCTCGGCTATTTTAAATAATAGAGGTACCAAGTAATGGGACGTTTAATAATGTCATTTTATGGCACTGTCTTTCGAGCTTTACTTTTTATAGTTCAATTTGTAATTCGGCGTTCTTATTATCACATTCATTTTAAAGGACATTAAACAGACGATATTTAAACATCCTAGTACTTAACGTATTACTATTAGGTATACGTAAATATTAAGCGTATTTATAAAATAATGATGTGCATTTTTCTTGTACAGATGAAATGTTTAAATTCGATAGGATTTCACCAAAAAAAATTAAGCATTTTTTTTTTTTTATATCTAGACAAAATGTATTATTATGAAGACAAATACATTTAATCCTCTTTGCAAAAGAGTCGCTGTCTACAAATAATATTTCATTATTTTACCGAACGTTACAAGTTTACAAAAAAAAAAAAAAAAACTCCAAAAAATGTGTACCAATGGAAATAATGTTTAAAGTATATATTTTGTATTAAAAGAAGAATATATTTTACCGAATAATAGTAATCTTCCGGTCCAAAAACGGCTAAACGCATACGAATAATATTCTCCCGTATACGGGTTTCAAGCGTATATTCCGATTCTAGTTACTAATGTATACATTATAGAAAAAAACTATTTTACGAATTTCGTTTGATCCAGATCGAACGTTATTCTGTGTATAGTAACTTGGTAACTACGATCTAACGGCGTAGGACGAATTTATGTGATCAATCTGTTTGAAGCAATTTCTCAGTTTATTCTTTTCCACCCTTTTTACACGTTTCATCTTGCATCTTGGCCGTCCACAGGCTCTATCGCCGTTATTTCGTGTTAGTCGCGCAGTAACACAAGCCGTGGTGCGAGGGGAAGAGGTTGAAACAATGGATGTATTCCTTCCGTTTATCTTTTTACTGTTAGATTTTATTGCAATAATGCAAATGGATTATTTAATATTTATTTTATAAATTTATTCCGTGACTGTCGACCATCAACTTTCTGATATTCATTCGTTCGTGCCGTTTTCACACCAAATGTTTTCTTCTCGGTCACCTGTAATCATACCGTGTTTTTATAAGATATCGCGTGCACAATGCTCGGTAATCATTGAAATAATTCACTCAACACCACAAGAAAAACTCCGCTAAACCGACTATATTTCAGTTGGTAACGGTCACGTCGATTTTATTTTTTTTATAAAGTATTATATTATCAATATCAAGGTGTATGTATATATATATATATATATATATATAAACCAGATATAATACTCAACTACCTAAACGAAATCCGAACAGTCTAATAATGAAAGAGAACCGTAAATATCCATGAAATATAGGTAAAATAAATCAATTTGTATTATTAAAAATGTTTAGAACTTAAGTATTTCCAATATTTACTTTATATTCGAGTAACTTTTACACGTCTCAATCATCGTATCACCGGGGTCGGTATTGTTAATTTTGCTAAAAAATAGATTAACTTCAAAATATATCTTCTTTTTGTGATATTATAATTTCTGTTTAATACCAATATCTTAGAGAAATTTTCAATGTTTCGGACTTACTGAGTGTTTCGCATCCCGAGTGCATGTTCACAGTGTAGCTGTTGTGATTATATTGGTTGCATTACTTGTTTATGACCTATAATTATACTTTTGACTTATACTTCTTTATTTTTTTGTTACCTTTATACGTAGTTATGTGTACGGTTACCGCTTTCTCTTTAGTGACTTACCTTGATCACTGAATATGTGTGGGTATGAATTTTTTTACACTCTATGAGTTTTATTTTCCTTTTCCTTCTTTACATTTATAATATACGCTCGTCTCTTTTGTTATGTTTCTTGTCTGGCATATTGTTACATTTTCTTCAATGGGTTTCTTTTTGTCTATTGTTTTTTCTTTATATTCTAGGGATTACTACTGGCATTACTTATTTTCCCATCAATCTTCTTTAAGTTTTTAGTCATTTTTTCGATTTGCTGTTCTCATTAGCCGTTTTTCGTAATTGACTGCATTGTTATGTATATTTTGATTTCGTTTAAAATTTTTATCGAACATTTTTTATTCTATATGTTCTATACATGTAATATATTATTGTCGTATAAAAGTAAATTAACATGATTAGAGAAAATTATAATTTATATTGAAATATTAAATTCTTACATTTTTTTGATTATCTTTATTATATTTATCTATACCGTGCAACTTTTTATCATGTTATGTTACAAATTACACGATAAACTATAAAGAATTACTATTATTTTTATTATTATTATAATTAAATTCTGTTTTGAACGAACTGTAAAAGAAAACTAACCTGAATCGAGTTTGCATATAAATTGTCGCCATTATTTTTATTATTATAAAATATTCTATTAAATACCACCGACGTTTACGTAGTTATGACCCGGATATTGATCAGTATAATGCAGTTATAAAGCAGTTAGAGAACGCATATACCTACGGCCTACGAATGAAATGTGAAAATTCCTTTAGGAGCACAAAAAAAGTATCAGTCTCAAGTAATATTTTAAGAATTTATACACATTGTTCTGTCAGGTGCATTTATTGCTGTTAAAAATCCATATAAAAAAATAAAATAAAATAAACTACGTAAAATACTATCAGGTAAATATGAATTATTTTGCAAGAAATGTGAAAACGCATCCTTAATACGCTAATTGAGTTACTTTTTAAACGTGTTATCTATAAACTTAATTTGCGGCACTATCGTCGAAATATAAAATATTTTTAATTGAAAAACTTCTTCTATCAACCTACGATGTTAAATTATTAAATCATAGGTAACTTAACTATTCTTTTTCGTCTGCCAAAGGCATCGTACACCGAAATCAGTCCTAATCCACGTCCATAATTAATGTATAAAAATAAATAGTTTCGGTATTCCTACTGTAATCAGATAGATTTTTAATACGTAAATTTTATTCATTATACATTTTTTCGGTCAATTGTCTAGTTCCCAGTATTACAGTTTACACGTATTTATTCATAATTCGAAATGCTTGTAAGTTACTACACGTTGTTATCGAGTAATAGGAATGTTTCACTGCTCTCGGTTCTTAGCGATTCGATCAAAAGTTCGACGTTTTTATTTCGACATGGGCGCCGAGGGAAAAATAAAACAAAATAATTGATTTTATTTCATTACGTTTTCAACCATAGATACGGAAATTAAAAACCGTTTACGCAGTGTTAGGTGAACATATACATTGTGTTGCCTTCGTAGAACTGCTAAGCTTTTCGGGTGTCGATAAACCCCATCTACGATGGTTGTTATGTCGCTCCGAGAATAATAATGGAATTCTATTTGCGTATCGTTACAGTTCAATTTCCTCGAAGACGACGAACGGAACGTCATGGTCGCGAAAGGGACGACGTCAGATTTTTCAAACGAGAGGCCATCAATGTACAACGATCATTATCTCCAAGGTAAAACGTATATGCAACGCACATGTGTTTCGTGTAGTACATCGTATGCGCATCGTTATAGCTCGAATCACTGTGTCGTGTAAATTCGCACCGAATCGATTTAGCCCGACTTTTGTGCGACGATATTCTTCGGAACGCGCACCCGTACAATTTAAATCTGTGGCTTGGTGCAAAGAGGGCCGATGTCACACATTTCGAGAGCCGATCTTATTGCAGTCGAACACGAAACGAGTCTTACAAAAAAAAAAAAAAAAACCAATTTAATTAATATCATTTTTTTTCACTTCCAACATTAAATTTAAAAACGTTATGTATATTAATTAATTAATATATTAGTATATTAGTATATTTGATTAATATCATTTTTTTTCACTTCCAACATTAAATTTAAAAACGTTATGTATACATTAAGAATCGGCCAATTAATGTTTTTATACGTGAAAATTGTTACAATACGTACTCGCGCACAGATGACACACGTTTACAATTCGTGCAACGTTTTGTCTTCGGACGCAACAAGAATTTAGTTATCCTTCCTCTTCGCGGATTCGAGCGATAGCGATGCGCGTGCGTATAAGTACTTTGATGCGTATTGACGAGAGGAAAAAATAAACTAATCGTGACCGCAGAAACATCACGAGCCACACGTTTTATGGAAAATTGAGATATTAGTAGATCAAGTGACTCGTGACATTTCTGCCGTCATCGGTTCAAATCGGTATTCGTATCGGTGAAACATTATATTATACACCGAGTACGGGAGGGGGGGGAGGTAAACGGTAAACACGACAAGTTTTCGCGTTATACTTCGTTTTTATTTTTTTTTATATCTATACGGCATGTATTAGTGATGAGCCGAACCTGATTTTTCGGTGTCGAACGAACTCGAACCGAACTTATAATTATTTAAACAAACACAAACCTACAATTTTTATCCAACTAAAATTCTAACTTATAATTTTTTTTTGCTTTTAAAAATGAATTTCATACACCTAAAAGTATATAATAAATTATAATAATTATTTTTTTAACACCGATTACTATTATTTCTGATAAATTTTTTAAAAATATAGAGTACAAACAACATTTATATTTTTCCTTTTCACTTTTCCAAAAGTAGATTTATAGTTTTGATTATATTATCACACATCATATGAAAAATAATCAGCGATAGTATTACCAATAGATATTTACAAAAATAATCGCACGCTTTAACGTATGAATATTTTCAAGTTTAAATTTCGATCATAACCTAACCGGTAAGCAGTTCGATTTTCTTACATTTTGATTTCGGTTCGGTTCATCACTAGTACAATATATATATATATATATATATATATATACGTGTGTGTATGAACATTGCTGCTCGCAGCGGAACCGCTAAGGAACACTGCGAATCAAACGGTTAGGAACGCGGACGAGAGCAACAGAAACAAACACATCTCGTACAACGTCAACACGGTGTTCAATAGCAGAGACTATTTGGTACGAGTGAGCGAGTCTTGAACGGTGTCGCGAGCGTAAAACCGTTTCATTTATTCTCCCGTTGTTCTGCCCCTAAAGCAAGCGCCGTCGGATCATCACAGGAACACCGCGCAAGACACCGGTCGGGTCAACTATTACGGAGGTGCGCAGCAGCAGCAGCAGCAGCAGCAGCAGCAACAGCAGCAAAACCTCCACCACTACCAGCAGCCGCAGCAGCGCGAATCCGAAACGGGTATCAGCGTCGACAGACAATACGATACCGGATACAACTACGGGCCGTCCCAAGACTGTGAGTAAAAACGTGTTTAAAATAGACAAGGACGGAAAAAAATAAACGCCTAAACGAGTAAATTAACGGTACATACTGTTTGAATGTCAAACGGTGGCGAGAAAACCGAAAAAAATCCGTTTACTTTTGCGCACGGTGAGCGTTTCGGTCGAACCGGAGCTGTACACCGTCGTGAACGTAGCTTGAACGGTAGCGCGCATTAATCTTTACACTTCTATACCTTGACCGAATTTTTCAAGCTGGGAACTTCTGGTGGTCTTATCTGTTATATCTTATATGTTTTTATCCAGATAGTTGTATACAGGTTATTACTATCGTTCACGACGGTTAGAACGTTTGAACGATCAAACGTGTGGACCAGATCTAACATACCGGGCACGTTCGAGTGTTTCTATGCTTGTTCGAACTTATCTCTCGTTTTGAATCGTTTAAACTCTCTTTGTTGTATATATTTATGATCACAGTAACACTTATTTGCACTGCCTTGACACATCTAGACTGAAAATTTACATTCCTCTTAAAGATTTTAATCTAGATACGAAATCTTTTTTTTTTTTTTCATGTCTGTGATATGTTTCACCCTGAGATGTGACTTGAATGATTGTATTATACGAGCGATCCGACAATCCATGTTATGTCGGAAAAATAGTTAAAAACGTTATAAAATCCCATTGACCGTAGTGAGTGGTGTGCAACTTGTTTTTCCTTTTAATGCGTGGGTAGATGAAAACAATTAAGTACTCGAATAATAATTGTATCCTTAAATTGAGGCGTGTATTAATTTTCTTATTTTTTTACAAACAAAATACAGTGACAATATTTCCGGGGAGCACGATTTGGATATTACTTGCATATTGCTCGCGACATGCGAGTTTTGTGTATCAGTCGCGCAAGATCGAACACGATTTTTCATAAAAGCTTAATTGTTTTCCTTTTGTCACGATAATATGAAGTTTTACAGCACTGAATAGGTTAGGTTAGGTTAACTAACTAATCTGGCTCTGCTTTACGGATCGATTACAACTGGAGGTCAGGGTCTTTCAAAATAGGGGACAACTGACTCGTTACTAATGGAAGTTAAATGGATATTTAGTTTCATCACGACAGCATAAGATTTCCGAAATTAATGGGGTTATTTTTACCTTATTTTTTTCTTTTTTAATGACTATACCCATTGTTCAAAAGTGAAACTCAACTCTTTCGAGGGGTAGAACTTTTGAATTGTCGGATACTTCAAAGAATGAAAAGAACATTCATGGCGTGTACCGGTGCACATTTATAAACTCTCTCTGAAACCAATTTCGAAGCACATAAATTTGGAGTAATGCCAGAAAAGTAACACACGACTGTTTGAAAATCTGCCAATTGAAACACTTAGGTGGATTACTAAAAAAAAATATATATATATATATATATCCAATAGTAATAATCATTTATTTTTATAATGGTTGGGCGCACCTTTACTGTTATTAGTAATTAGTAATTACTACTAGTAATACACTAGGTAAGAATTTTAATAATATTATTATACAGTAAAATTCAGAGTTATTATTATTGTGCAAATAGTTTAGTTGAAAAAATACACATACACACATACACACAAGAGGAAAATATTTCTTGGTGAGGTAATTCTATTTAGATTTTAAAGGTAAACTGATTATGTTTTAAAATGGAAAAGTGTATAATTTTTTTATTTAATACCAACCTATATTTAAATTTCCAAATCAAATGTTATATTTATAAATAATTATTTTAAAATGAAAATCATTATACTCGGTTGAAATCTAAATTCGGTCTATTTCACAAAGCTCCGCGTCTTAAAGCATTTTAAATGTCAAATCGATTTATATTATTGCAAGTGTAATTTTTTTTATGATCGAAAAACTTTGCTCACGAATTAAATCATGAACGAGTGAAAAAGATAGAGATTATAGAAATAAAAATATTTAACTTTCCTAAACAAAACCAACACGGACGCATCGGACCACGAAAGCTCGTTCCAGTAGTGCTTAGTACGTCTAGTTTCGTTATTGTTAAATTTACATGTTACGGTTATTTTTTAAACATAACGCTTTTTGGTGAAATTTGTATAAATCGTATTTTGTACTGAAGTCGGAAACTTCAAACCAACCGAATAGATCACGGTTGGATTTTCAAACACCGATCACGTCGGAATGTGTATTTTTAGATTTTCCAACGCGTTAGTCGTTCCGTCACAACATCGTGTTTCGTTGTACGTTTTATGAGGCTGCGTTGATATCGCCACTTAATGTTGTGTAAAACATGTAGGTCATGTGTATAAATGCATAGCAGTAATATAAAGCGTAACGAAATCTGTTCATTAAATTCATGATGTTATCTCGAGTATTTTATACGTGGCATTATGCGATATTCACCGCAATATAATAACGTGTTAACATATTATGTCAGTTGAAAAATACATATACAATGCGGAAGGGTGGTTTCAGAGACTTGGTTGAAAAGGGGAGAGGGTAAATAAGTCACAATTTTCACCGAATCTTAACGAAAATAAAACAACACTATTTACAATAAAAATTCTAGTCGTCTATTTTAAGAACATTCAAAAATTTCAATAATGTGATGTATATGATCTAGAACGTTCACTTTGTCATACACATTAATAAGACATAATGTTTATTTATAGAAGATTATAACAATAAGATTTATTAAGAAAATATTTTCATCATCAAGTTATTTAATATTCCCATAATTCGTACACAATTGTGTGCTACCTAATTAATGTTTTCATAATAATATATCTTACCCAGTGCCGCATCTAAGAAATTTAACACCCAGGATAAATAAAAACGCAGTGCCTTTACGCGGGTGGAAATATAAGTAAGGTAGAACAAAAATTAAAAAGCATATTTTTTATTGAAATCATAATTTTCATATTTTATTTATATAGTACAAAATATATCTATATTATACTTAAAAAAAATTATATTTTTGAAAAATTTAAAATTTAAATATTGCTAGTCTTTTTTGGAGTGAATTCATTGCTATGCCTTCAGCATTTATTTCAATTGTATTTTCTATGAATATATTATACAAGTGGTTAAGTCTTGTTTGCTCTTTAACAAATTGTAGGTAAGTTTTTATTAATTTTAGTCTGCTAAAGCTTCGTTTACACGAAACTGTAGTAACTGACATTGTAAGATATATTTGGTAAGCTACTGATAACTAAATTTGGATATGCATCTTGAAGTTTATTTTTATAAATAAAATTAAACATTTCAAATAAGCTTGTTTATTAGTAAACATGCTTTTTATAGCTTTGTAAGTCTGAAATTAATGCGAATTTGTCGAAATAATTTTCATATTTATTGAATAAGTAGATCATGGTTCAAGTTTTCTATTGTAATAAACTATTGTTGGTTTTAAAAAATGAAAAATTTCGAGCAAAATTTTCCATTCCATCGCCGCTTGTAAAATTCGTAGATTTTATGCAAAAGTCAATGCAGTAATAAATGGCAGATTGAAGTTTATATTATACCTTGGTATACTTTAAATTATTACAGTTGGCTTATAGTTTATTCATAATTTAGGTAACAAGTACATACAGCCAGACCTAGAAGCGGAACTAGGAATTTTTTGTGCCTGGGGAAAATATTAAAATTACGCTCTATCATAGACTAAGAATAAAATATCGATCTCTACAATTTTTTTTTTAATAATTAGCGTACAATCATACTTATAGAGCTTTAAACAAATTATCAGTAACAAAGTTAAAAATATCAAATTAGCAGTCAATAGTAGATTATTGTTTAATACGAAAATTATTTATTATAATTATTTATTTACAATTATTTACTATAAAATGTATGTTAACGTCAGAATTCCCGTTAGTTCAGGATTCATTTTCAGACGGGTTCCACTGTACATCACTTTATTAATGTATAATAATCGGATACAAGCCGGTTACCATGTATAGCAAATCGTTCGATTAAAATATTACTGATTTGAGTTTGAATTATGACGTTACTTCGATTACTATCCTCCTCTTCCTGTCGTAATAAGATTATCTGCGTAGAAATATATACGTTACGGCTAAAGTTCGAAACGTGGCTAAAGTGCACACTATCCGGATAACGTGTACATAGTCCAAACCAGTTAGATAAAATAAATATATAACATTTAGAGTCGTAGTTACGTATATTAATCGGTTATTTTATACATAACCTATTGATTGATAGACGAAGTAAACGGGTAGAAAAAATGTACAAAATCTGGTATTATATGATTATATTTTCAACGGTACTAAATGTGGTGCAATTTTATGATGTGAAAATGGTATAAAGAAAAAAAAAAACTTTCGATAATTTATCGTAATCGTTTGATGTTATCTATATGAATATAACGTCAATTGAAATAGTAGTCGTGTTTGGAGTAAAACGTGAACATCTAGAATATAAAAAGTTCAAAAGACGATTTGTAAGTGTGATTTAATAAATTATTTGCGGGGGAAAAAAAAACGGAATTCGATTTATTTATCTCAAAAAAAAAAAAAAAAAAAAATGTATTATTATTTATATTTCGTGAGATAAATAGTAATGATAGATAGTTCTATATTATCATTGTACGGTTTCCACATCGTAAAAGTACCACCATAAGAAATTTCATACATCGAAAATTAAATTATAGAATACCAAGTTTTATACATTTTTTCACACCCAATTATTTCATTCATCGATCAATGTTCAAAATAGGTGGTTAATACATGAAACTACGATTCTAAACGTATAGCGTTAACTTCGTCCAACTGGTAAGGATTATGCGCACATTATCCGGATAACCGTAACATATACGTACATACAGTGAATACTACCCGGGTGCTCTCCCTTATTATTCACCATACCGAGCGTCCGGCGAGATCATAACGTTCTCGATAAGTGCCCTTAAAATAATAGCGTACCCATCACGACTGACGCTGTCAGCATTTTATCGTCGAACGTTTGTTTAAATCGTCAGCGTGCTCGGTCAATGTACATCGTACAAACAATGGAATATAGCAATGACACGCTATTGGTTTCAATCAAATATGTACACAAGCGTACATAGTTCGTCTCCGTCCGAACTACATTTTGTTTAACACTTTAAATGTGTAAAAGTTTGACGGTGAAAAACAAATGAACTTATTTTTGTATTCTTGTACAATAATATTTTCGTTTTTGAATTCGAATTCCGCGATATCGTAAAAAAATAAATCGTATTATCATCTACGATGTCGCGTTAATGTCGTACGGAGAAATAGGAAAAAAAAGCCGAGGGTAATTATTCTTAAGTGTAAAAAAACGTATTTCGCACCCGTCCTCTACCACGTGTGAAAAGTATCCGGGCACATTACAGCCAGTTACGTTTGAATCGAATGTTGTTCGTGCGTGCACCTAATAGTGGTGAAGAATTCTGGGCTATTTGAGTTTTAGAGAATTCTGAGTTTTAACATTCGAAATCTGAAGTTATTGAAAGCAAAGTTATGATTTATTGATGAATAATATAAATAAGGAAAATAACATAAATATATTTGAGCGGAAGATAAAAAACAAAAAAATTCGAATATATTTTACACAAATATAATGTATGACTGAACACGATGAACTGATTCATAACACGATTTCATGTAAGTTCGCTATAAGAAGTGAGTTCGAATAAGCGTAAAAGATTCGATTTAAACTGATTTCAGTTTTTATTGAAAATGTTGGACACTCGAAACAAATGGAATTTGATTACAAATATCTTTAGTTGCAAATCATTCGTGTTGATGGTGTTGTATTATTATTTATTATGATTAGTGAGTATAGGAAGATTTTGGATTTTTTTAATACTCGCATAATAACTGTCTCGTCTAGTAAAACGAATATTATATCAACTAATCTTAAGATTTAGACTTAAAACTTAAGACCAACGATGGTCGGTTTCCGATGTTGGTAATTTGAAATCCACATTGTATCCGCAACTAGCCGAATATTAGGATTTAATATTCATAATATTAGGATGTTACCTGTAACAAATCGTATAATGAGTTCGTGTTTTTTTCTCCCACAGCTGACCGCGGCCGGAGCAGGAAGAAGAAACGCGATTTCTTCGGTGCTATGCGAACCAGGTTCAACAGATCTAAGTTCAGATCCAAGTCGATTGATGCAAGCCAGCACGATCAATACAGGGATTCATACGGCTTGTCACCGGGCCAGGCACGATCGATATCCGCAGACGGCACTAGAAACTCGTCCGAGCCGTCCATCGGTAAGCGAAACAACTTGTACACTGCAATAGTCTCGAACAGGAATGATAATCCACAGGGCGAGTGGTTTAAACCCTCAGGAGTATACCTTCAAATGGTTTTAGACTTTAATGTTTTAAGGTACATAATCGATAAAATAATAAACTGCGAGTACAAATAAAACAAAATAAACCAATAGTTTTATGTGACGATGTAAGTTTATTCGGGTAGAATAATATGTTTTTGATATAATATCTAGTGGCCTGTAAGACGTGTGAAGTATATCTCAGTGCACTTTATTAATTGTTGATGGCGGGAGAGATCTTCGAGGTATGTGTCATTTGCGCGTTGAATATTTCTTCCTCGTAGGTATCTGTTGATTCGTAATTATCTTAAATTGCTTATTCCCTCCGGTACACATTAATTGCACTAATGCAAAACATATTATGCGCATGCATTCGAGTGACACGTGTCTCCCTAATGGGGGAAGTAGGGCGATAGAATTTTGCGTTCGGGGTAGCAAGTCAGTTTGACCTGTCTGGGGATAAGTGGTGTTTAAATATTAATAACGAAATATACGGTGGAGGATAACTACTCCGGATCGATAGAATAATATTATAATCGTGTCCCTTACACACACTCACACATACATGTGTGTGTGCTTATTTATATATATATACCTGTATTATTATGTATGCCGACACGCGCTTTAAAGTTAAAACGGCGATGTGGCGCCACGGCCTTGTACAATATGTATAGACACATGGGTTACGTGCGTGAACGGAAAACGTATCAGCGAACGGAATCAGCAAAAACACTGTTTTTTCGAAATTGTTATCTTTATTTATTTTTTTTTTTAAATTGTTTTTGTAAAACATTTTTAGTATTTTATTACAATCATTGGTAACGGAATCGGTGACAGTCATTATCATCGTAAGTATTTTTTCATATCCAGGTTTGCATAACGATTTATTACAAAGTTCGAACTGTAACAATCCCGAACAAGAAAAGTAAAAAGAGATGTGCGGTCCGGGCTGATTATTTTCTTAATTTTACGAGGGATGGAATTCGAGGTTACAAAGATTCGTGAGCTGATCAGAGAAACTAAATAGTCCTGAGAGCTAAAATAATTAGTACTTACTTGGTTCGCCATCGGTTTTCGGATGTCGATGACTCGGAAAATTATGATTATTGCAAGCGTGTGGTTGAAATCGAGTGAAATAGGCACAGGATTTGACGAACTAATACTGGACACTTTTCGGCGCTCGCATAGAATTTGTGTTTGGATGTTGTCATTGCGTTGCATTTGAGCAATAAAATCGTTAAGTCCGCGTGCACACACTAACGACAGAGCTTTTTTTTTATTTTAAATAGTAAACAATTGGATGGTTAACAGTAGATGCGCATATCACAACGAGGAGCTTTTTGAAGATTCTGGTTAACGTATTGTGTAGGAGAGTGTAGTAGTATGATAATTTAACCAAAGGCTGTTTCCTTTGGGGGTGGACCTATTTAAGTTGACAATGGTGCACCGTTAGGTTTGGACATGTCGAAAGGGCCGTTTTTTTACTATAAATTTCTAAAATGTGACAATCTCGAATAATGCACCTCATTACAGAACGGTTCATCTTCTCCAAAGCCTTTCGTTTTTATACAAATTTCTACATGAACAACTGCAACAGTTATAATCCTCCAATATTTACCATTCCCCGTTACTTGACCTGGCCCGCGGGATCTTGAGAGAAATATGCTAAAAGATTTTCTTGACGACTTGATCAACAATTTAAAAAACTAAGCTTAGCTTATAGTACGGAGTATTTATGATTATTACCAGACCGTTTGGTATATTGATCATAGCTGCTGTTCAGTGAGCGCTCGTTGTATATTTTCTAAACGAATGGAAATTTTTTTGAAATAAATCATAAATTTCTATGATATTTGGCTAGCACGTGATTTTCCTATATCGATTGATATAGTTTTACCTAGTACCGAATGCGCAGAATTTTGTAATTATTAGAAAGAAAATAGTTAAGCGACCAGAAAATTAATCTGTTCTGACCTGTTCCGAAATGACATTTCCTTTGAATGTAGAATTATTACGCAATGTTTCCTCGTCGCTTCGGCAATATTCGAACAAGAGAACACATGACGTTTCGTTGTTGTTTATAAAATATATTTCGACGAACTGAAATTCTTAGCGCGTTTTCAAACGGTAAACGATTCACGGCGCTCAAGACGCGATTGTATGTACGTGCGCGCTTATTGTACATGGACGGAGAATCGGGTGTCAGATTCGAGGGGGAACAAAATATTTCGCTGGTCAGTTTTTATTATCGTTTCGATAAAAAATAAATAAAAAAAACAATGACGAAGGTCGCTGCAAAAAATCTTTCGTCGATACTATTGTTCCCGCAAACCATTACGAACGCACGCACATACATGCTAATAAACCGTAATCAATAATCAATTATTGGACCACATCCAAGTAAGTCTTATTTGAATAACGTGAAAATCTTTACGCTCCGATGCTAAAAATATAGATATTTTACCTCGTACAGTCGTTTGTGCCGAGTCGTAAACGCTTTATTAAAGTTATGCTTTACGTTGTTTTCATACATCATGTAATATTGTGTTTGTGAAGTTCAGTCGAAAAAAAAAAAAATGAAAAAATTTAATCCACGAGATCGCTCGCTTACGTACCCCGCGTAATCGTATGCTATATTATATTATATTATGTCGTTGTTCGATTCACGTTCGTCACTTATATCTAACAACGTTTTACTGTCGGTCCACCGTAACCCGGATGAAATGTCATCGCTTAGGTTTTAGATTTCACGTAAGAAATTATTTAATCATTGTCACCGATATTATATTAGGATAGAGCTTTTTAATCTTAAACGCCTTTTTAAATTGTTAAAATTATACTCGTAACCTCCAATACGATTTTTTCGTTCTCACGCATTAATAGCGCCTACGCGTTGTTAGGTATTCAACTATTAACATATTAGTTCTATGTCTCCGTGAAAAATTCGTCGTCGTCCGATCGTTGCGCCTGTCGTTTTCGTCAAAATATTTGCTTCCGGTTCGAATATTAAAAAGAAAGACTAGTCCTTACAATTTCACCCCCCCCTCATAATGGCCGCGTGCGTACATAACAACAATGTTTACTCGTACCCCCCGCTGACGCCTGTCTCCCGGTTAATGAAGAAAGAGCGTGTAGGTGCACGATATCGAGTATACGTCTGCGATCATGATGTGTACGTGTTATGTTAAGCTCGAACGCGTGGAAATAATGAACCTTTTATTTCGGATTCCCGGACTATCTGCACTGTCATCTCTCATTCCCTGTTTCTCGCTTTTTGTATAGATCTCTCTGTTCGGCTGTACTTTTTGCATAGTATTACGTAACAAAGCAACAGCGAATCGTGCAGAGGAAAAAAAAAAATTCTACTCCTGACGCTTCTCCTATCGATTTGCCCAATTTTCCATTCCGTTAGCATAAACGCTATGTACACCGCGCTCATGATAGACAACAATCGCAGCTTACCGTCAATCAGATTTTCGTGAACTATATATGTGTGTATGAAAAAACAAAAATAACGAACGTATTGACAATTTTTTCGCCAGAACAAATCAACGTCGATCTTCACGCTGGCTTTCGAATAATTTGATTTCATTTCGTACACCCCTTGGTTCACGGATGAATAATAATAATATTATTTTTCGTGAAAACCATCGTCAACCTTGGCGCCATCAGAGCGTTTTAAATCGAAATCGTACCGTTATCGCTAAAACATAAACACCTAGGTCTTGGAATTTGATTGAAGGTTCCAAATCAGGGGTTATGTAAGAAATAAAAATTCAAAAAATTTAAAATATTGCGTTAGTTATATATGGGTTAATTTAAGATTTTGTTAAATAATTATATATTTGTCAATTATGGTCAGGGGGCATTGTCTCCTACCCCTCCACGACTACGCCCTTGAATTCGGTAAGACGTCTTAGTATATATGGATTTTTATTTGATTTCTGCTCTGGGATCAAGGTGAGGTACACTTTTTTCTTGGTGATCATTGTCAAATTTGAAAGAGATTGATGTGCGAGATATACTACGTTCCGTAAAAGGTTTTTATGTTTATTCTGTCGCTTAACATTTTTGTAAACTTTTTAGACCCATTTATGTGGCGTATAAAAATCGATATCGTGTTATAAAACTGACACAACATTTATTATTTCATAATATAAATATTATAGGCATCGTAGCATGAATCAATAGAATCGTTTTCAATAAATTATCCTTTCGTATTTGTCGTCCGTCGAAAATTGCCGCCGTAGACAGTTGCAGTCCTGTATGGTGTAGATAAATACGGCATTTTACGCTTACGCGTGCAAACAATATTTGCCGTGTCGAAACATAACGTAATTCGAAAGAGAACGTGGACGTAGTCGTGTTCATCGGATGTCCTCGCTCCGCGTACGCACGCCAGTCGTAATAATAACGTAACGCTTAACTATGATTGTTGTCTCTCATTTCCAAGACTGGGCAAGTTAATTGAGTTCATGTTCAATTAAAATAATTCACATGAGAACTACAAAAATGATTACATTAAGCGCTGATATAAGTGATAATTGTATATGCATTAAAAATGTGCAACAGATCTTAATTAACATTAAAGAAAAGGGAATGAAAATTTATAAAAATCTTATTTAAGAATATTTTTTATTGAACCCTAATTGGAGTAAAAATATAAATTTCTTCAGTTTTTTTTTTTATTCATTTTCATACAAATCACATACGATAAATATAATTGGAAAAAGGATCAATTCTTTTTAATGTTCAATAACAGTATGGCAACTAAAAATAATTACTATAGCTGAATGTGTAACTATAAAATTATACAGATAATAAATGTATACATTTTATATAAAACATTAAAATAAATATATGATATTATTTTACTTTATTAAAATCCAAGGAAATAAAACAATATAATGGACTGGTTAATAAAAATATCTAATCTCA